TTTTAACAATCTCTAACACTACCATTCACCCCCACTACCTACTCTGGAAACCTACATATATACTTCAGATATTCCTTTCCTTTAATGACCAGGATGAGAACACAAGAAATACAGAACGACTGGACCAAAAAAAAAGTGTTTTAAAACATTTTTCACTATTTCAAAATATTTATTCTCTCTTTAAAATCAAATAGGATATTATTTCAAGACCATCTCCCCCTCCAAATTCGCATGAACCTTGTTGAGAAGGTTGACTGATCATATCCTCTTTTCAAAACCCAAACAAAGCCTGAATGTTCCCTATACCAAGAAACCATTCTCAAGGGATCCCTTTATTAGTATGCACACAGGCATTCATTGTTCCTTTCAGGAAAATCTACCAACCTTAAGATTACTTTAAATCAATATATGGTCATAATTTTTAAATATTCTTTATACACCTAAACTGAAGGTACATCAAACATTTTGAAACCAAAATTTAAAATAAATGATTGTTGTCAGATGAATATTTAAGTCCTGAAAGACTGAGACCACACATGATTCTAATCTCTAATACTACTGCTTTTAATAATTCTTTGTGGCATCCCAAAAAAGCAAATGCTTTTAACCATGTGAAGATCTAGATTATAACCTAAATTGTATCAGTTACTACCTTCTAAAGACCCTGTGTACCAAAATGTGCTCTAATTGCCAGTTAGGTATACTTATGAGTATACGAAGAGCCTTCGTGTCTTTAATGCCTTAATTAAGGATGTGAAAGTTAAAACTTCATCAACTCGTATCTAATAAACTTTCCCAAATAATAAAGTCCTATTGTGACTACAACTGCATAAACACTGGAGAAAATAAAATGTTAAATAAGCCACCTAATAAGAATCATAAACTCTCTTGATCCTAAGCAATCTATTCTCCTGTCATCACAGAAACACTTCTTAAACATACTGTTCATTTTAAGATGTTATTCATAATTTAATCATTTTTACTTTCAAGAGATCCTCTAAAGAGCTAGTCTTTCCTTTTTCTTGAATTTATCTCTTTCTGTCCTATATCACACTGCTTTTATGGCCAGGCTAGCAATATGGTCTAAATTTTATCTGAATGCTAAATAAACTTACTAATTCTTCATTTTTTTCCTTCATTGGTCTCATTTCCATGCCTCCGACACCTTTCATCATTTTTCTATTTTTCTTCAGTACATTTCTACTTATTTTATTCAAACTGAATCTAACCATTCTCAGATGTATCAATACGGTTAAAAGTAAACAAGAATTAAAATCAGTTACTACATTCAGCCCCCCAGAAAGTCAGTAAAGCCTATGGAGTGCTATTTCTTCCCAAGGACTAAATGGAGTGATACTGCTGGTACTGGCAAGAACCAACACGACTCATTCAGCTCAACAACAGAGTTGACAATGGCCTGTAGAAGGATTCACTCACTTGAGGATTACAGCCAGGATCCATTTCTCCACCCTGAACACAATCCTGGGCACCACCATCATTTGCTAGACCAGTGGTTCTCAACTGGGATGATTTTGTACCCTAAGGAACATTTGGCAATGGGTAGACTTTAAATGCCATAGTTGCAGAGGAGGGGCTTACTGGCATCCAGTGTTAGAGATTAGATCACGGACGCTGCACAGGACAGTCACCACAACAAAGAATTATTCAGCCAAAAATGCCAACCATGCCGAAGTTAAGAGACTCTACCCTGACATTTACCCCAATTCTTGGTAAAAACAAAAAACAGCTGGAGACTAGAGACAGTGTGGTGGTGAGAAAGGACCACAGGATTAGGGGAAGAAGGAAATTAAAACCTACTGAGTACCTGCTATACAGGATTAGGGGAGGAAGGAAACTAAAACCTACTGAGCACCTGCTATACAGCAAGTCTGGTCACTTGACATCTATTATCCTCACTTATATTCCTGCCCTGTGAAAACAACAATATATTCTGCATTTACACAGAAGGCTATACTCAGAGGGATTGGGGAACTTATTCAATGTCATTCATCTAGGAAGGGGAGGGATCACAATACAAATTCAACCAAATGTCTCATTCCACAATACTACAAAGCCTAGAGACTAAAAGACCGAGATTTGATTCAAAGAATTACTAATGATTTAACTTCCCTGAACCTCCACTGAGAAAATAAATCAGGCTGGGCTCCTCATGCCTGTAATACCAGCACTTTGGGAGGCCTAGGCGGGTGATTCACCTGAGGTCAGGAGTTTGAGACCAGCCTGACCAACATGGAGAAACCCTGTCTCTACTAAAAATATAAAATTAGCTGGGCAGAGTGGTGCATGCCTGTAATCCCAGCTACTGGGAGGCTGAGGCAGGAGAATAGCTGGAACCTGGGAGGCAGAAGTTGCAGTGAGCTGAGATGGTGCTGCTGTACTGCAGCCTGGGCAAAAAGAGCGAAACTCCATCTCAAAATAAATAAATAAACCAATAAATAATATGTGAAAACATAAATGTTGCAGATTGCTAACCACATACAATCATAATAAATACAAGAAAAATAAAGTGCTTTTAAAAAATGTCTTTTTACTTATTTTCCCCAACTCTTCCCTACAATGGAAGTCTTATGAATACAAATATTCCTTAAAAACAGAAAAGAGAGGCTGTAGTGGCTCACATCTGTAATCTCAGCACTTTGCGAGGCCGAGGCGGGTGGATCAGAAGATCAAGAGATCGAGACCATCCTGGCCAACAAAGAAAGAAAGAGAGAAAACAAAAAAGGAATACATTTTTAAGTGTGCACAACACCAAATTATTCATCAAAAGAAAGAGAAAGAGAGAAAAGAAAAAAGGAATAGAATGTTTAAGTGTGCACACCACCAAATTATTCAAGCTTAAGAATCAAGATAAAACGTTCAGAAGACTTTGTATCTTCCTGAGCCATGCAACTATTCTTAAATCTCATGAGGAAATAAACTAATATTTCAGTATGAACTTCTTAAATAATTTTAGTTATTAGAAAATGCTCAAGTCTATATCAACAACTTTGATTAGGCCTTCTCCATAACTGGTAGCACAAGTCATGAGCAGAACTGAGAAACAGAATTAAAAATCTAGTAGGAATTGTGGAGAACAACTCTACTCACTATTCTCTCCATAAAGACATTTTATTACACTGAGGTCAACATGCTGTCACTCACACTAGTGATGTAAAAAATAATCCATTTCAACATAAGTTTCAGACCAAACAAAACAAAACAAAACAAAAAACCCACCCACCAGAATCTATCCATCTTTGACAACAAAAGTATACTACTTTGAGATTAAGTGACAGCCAATGTAAACTGGGGGGTTGTTCTCTCCAGAAATCATCACTCCAATGCTGCTTCTAAAAGCAGGTTGCACACAACCATTTTTTCTCTGGAAATAGCTAAATCCCAAGGCATGACATTTCTTTTTTGTTGTTGTTTTTTGAGACGGGGTCTCCCTCTGTTGCCCAGGCTGGAGTGCAGTGGCATGATCTCAGCTCAGTGCAGCCTCTGCCTCCCAAGGTCAAGCAATTCTCCCATCTCAGCCTCCAGAGTAGCTGGGATTACAGGGGCACACCACCATGCCCAGCTAATTTTTTGTATTTTTAATAGAGACGGGGGTTTCACCACGTTGGCCAAACTGGTCTCAAACTCCTGACCTTAGGTGATCCACCCACCTCAGCGTCCCAAAGTGCTGGGACATGAGTCACTGTGCCCGGCCAACAAGGCTGTATTTTATAAATGTATGTTTTTATACCAATTAATACACTATAAATTATAATTGCAAGTATTTCCCACTTTGATTAAATCCAAGTTTAAAAGCAATAAGCTCAACAAAAAAACTAGTTGAAATGGTTTCAAAAGAATCACGAAAGATGGCTTTAAATAAACAAATTGTTTACCTGACACTAAAAAATAAAAGATAAAAACATATATTCTGGCAGAACTGAAAGACTAACTATAATCTTGAATATTGTTCAAATCAAGTTAGACGAGGGTTTTCATTAGATGTCATTTTACTAATCCGATACTACATTTTTCATCTTAAGCATTTTGACACTTCCATCAACTTTCTAAAAGTGAGGGTGGATTGTTTTTCTATGTTTTTAATAGACTTGCCTCTCAAAAGAATGAATTAGATAAAAACTGATGGGAGAAACCTTTTGTCAGCCTCCGCCTCCTCTTCATCAATGAGCATCTGAGTAAACCTTCGCTATAAATTACTGTTTAGTTCATAATCCTGAAAAATTGACATTGGACAATGACGTAACTAAAGCCCATTTTCTCTATATATCCAGACATCCTGTCAACTTTTCACTTGACAAGCCTGTTTTTCATCACAACGAATTTTCACATACAGGAATGTAATCGGTATTTTCTAATGTCCAGGAGCCAAAAATAATTATTCAGTCTATTTTTTCATTTATCTCCAAATACAGAATTCTCCTCAAGGTTCAGAATCATCTTTACATTTCTGAACCGAGGAAAGGTTGTGTAATGTGAAATACTGCTAGCTTCGCAGGAGGAGTGCGGTGTTTCCGACAGCGGCTCTGAGGATCCTCGTGGAGCCCCTGCGTGGAGCCTGTGGTGCCCTCCCCACCCCTCGAACCCGGCCGTGCGTCAGCAGCCACGGCGTGAGGCGCACAGGCAGCTGGCTCGCAGCAGGACCCGGCCCACCGCTCTCAAACGCGCCTCCAGCAGCTGCCGTGCGGGCTGCACAATGACGAGGGCCCCCCGACCCGCAGGCCCAGGCCCACCAGGCCCGCCCAGACGCTCTTCGCACAGCCTATTTGCGCCGCCGCCCGCCCCGAGGCTTCGATGTCGGAACAGCCCCAGCCAGGCCACGGCCTGACGCCGCCCTCCTCTAGGGGCGCGGCCAGAACCTCCCGGGGGGTCTCCCATGGCAAACTGGGGGTGGCAGGGGCGGAAGGGACAGGGCTGTGAGGGTAAAGCGGCCTGACCGGGGGTGTCCCTAGAGACTGCGAGGGAAAGGGGCCCGGCGGCCTCACCCGCAACGGGAGGCGGCTCTCCCGCGTCGTCGGCCGCGGGCGCCAGGGTGACTGCGCCGTCCCTCCAGACGCGGATCTGCGCAGCCGAGCGCACGCGGCAGCCGGGCTGGCGGCGGCGGGCGGCGGCGCGCAGGGAGCCGCAGCACTGGTAGCACACGGCCCACGCCTGCTCCTCGTTGATGGGCTGGTTGTAGAGCCGCAGGATCTCCTCCAGGCTCAGTGCGTCCTGCGAGCCCCCGGCATCGCCGCCGGCTGCCCGGGGCTCCCGCAGCCCCTCGCCGCCCACCGCCTCAGCCCGCGGCTCCCCGCTGCCAGCCGGGCCGGCGGCCTGAGCCATCGCGCGGGTGGGCGCTGCGCTCGGCAGTAGCGCCGTGTGCCGGCGTCTTCTCAGCTCCGGAGCATCGTCTCCGCGCGCCACCGTCTCCTCATCCCCCGAACCGCCGCCGCCCAACGCGGCCGCGCGCGCGGCCGCCGGGACGAGGCGAGGGCGCGGGAGGCGTGGGCGAGCAGAGGGCGGCGAGGACACGGCTGCAGACCCGGGCAGACCGCAGCCGGCCGGTAGCGACGCGATGGCGTCCAGCGTCCCGCCCCGCCCCTCCCCGCCCCGCCTTTCCTCGCACCGCCCAGCGCCCGCCCCTCAGGGGGCCGCACTGGCCGGGGGTTGCGCGCTCGGGAGGAGACGCACTGGCAAGAGGGCCTCGAGGCGGGTGGCTGCACGATCTGGAGCGGACCGCAACCCGCAGGGTTCGCAGAGTCGCAGGTGGTGATGCGCGGTCGCAAGGGACGCACAGCTGGGGGCGCGGGGGTGAGGGCGGCGACGCACGGTCCAGTGGGGACAAGCGGCCGGGAAGGGCGTGCAGGGTGGTGGGGCGTGGGGGACACGCGGGGCCAGGGGCTGGAGGGCGATCGGGAGCGCGGTCGGGAGCGAAGGGGCAGTAGGGGGGTCGCGTTTATCAGGGACGCCCCCGGCCGACTCTGACGGGGTCCTGAGCGCGCCAACCAGGGTCATTGCCCTGCACAGCGGGAGAAGTCACCGCATTGAAGTTCCCTAGGCGCTGGATGGCCGAAGGTCTGGTTGAGAGCTTGAACCCGCCTGGAGCGGATGCCTAAGAAAACGCAGGCCCACTGAAGCCTCCCTGCTGGGCCCTAAACCCTGAAAGCCTCCCGCAGTTTACCCTGACCCCGCACCGGCTCTGTGCGTTTTCTGATTTCTTGTTGGTTGAATACCTCCCTCTCCACTCCCAACTTCAGGGTAAGCCCCGTGAAGACTGGGATCTTTACAAGTTTTGCTCACTGACTTCTCCCAAAAGCTAAATCAAGGCCTGGAATATAAGCATCTAGTACATAATTTGCAGGTGCTGCAGTACCACACTCATCACAGCATGTGGAATGAATATCACAGTGGTAAAATTGAACTGAGGGCAATTAGCCAAAGAAAGAAAAAATTCTGGGAGCGGTGGCTCACGCCTGTAATCTCAGCACTTTGAGAGGCTGAGGTGGGCGGATCAGGAGCTCGAGACCATCCTGGATAAACCCATCTCTACTAAAAATACAAAATACAAAAAAAAAAAAAAAAAAAAAAAATAGCCAGGCTTGGTGGCAGGCGCTTGTAATCCTAGCTACTTGGGAGGCTGAGGCAGGAGAATCGCTTGAACCCAGGAGGTAGAGGTTGTGGTGAGCCGAGATTGTGCCACTGCACTCCAGCCTGGGTGACAGAGCGAGACTCTGTCTCAAAAAATAATAATAATAAAGTAAAAATAAAAGAAATAATTCTGCCCCTCAACCCATTAAGTATGCAATAAAACAGTTCTTAACCACTCATTGGTAGATGAATTTAATCGATAAAATTCCACTGAGGCTGATTCTGTGTGAAAGCCCTTCAGAGTGTTGAAAGTATCAACCAAGTAGGCTATGTATATTAAGTTCCAGTAAACCTTTTACGGCTTTTTTCTGTAAAGTGTTAGAAATCACGCTCTCAACAATTGCATCTTGCAGTAGAAACTACAACAGTCTATTAAAATGATAACAGTTTATTAAAATAAGATACCATCTTATATACAGCTGAAATGGGGAGAAGGATGAAAAGCAACAGGACAAAAAGGAAGATAAAGAAATTGGAAGAGGGCCGGACACGGCGGCTCACACTGTAAGTCCAGCACTTTGGGAGGCCGAGGCGGGCGGATCATGAGGTCAGGAGATCGAGACCATTCTGGCCAACATGGTGAAACCCTGTCTCTACTAAAAAAAAAAAATATATATATATATATATATATATATATATATATATATATACACACACAAAAAAAATTAGCCAGGCTTGGTGGTGCGCACCTGTAGTCCCAGATACTCGGGAGGCTGAAGCACAGGAATCGCTCGAACCGGGAGGCGGAGGTTGCGGTGAGCCGAGGTCACGCCACTGCACTCCAGCCTGGCGACAGAGCAAGACTCCGTCTCAAAAAAAAAGGAAAAGAAATTGAAAGAGGGTGGTGCGCGGTGGCTCACGCCTGTAATCCCAGCACTTTGGAAGGCTGAGGCAGGCAGATCACTTGAGGTCAGAAGTTCGAGACAGCCTGGCCAACATGGCAAAACCCTGTATCTACTAAAAATACAAAGAAAATTAACCGAGTGTGGTGATGAACACTTGTAATCCCAGATACTCGGGAGGCTGAGGCAGGAGAATCGCTTGAACCCGGGAGATAGAGGTTGCAGTGAGCCGAGATGGCACCACTGCACTCCAGCCTGGCGGACAGAGCGAGAGTCTGTCTCAAAAAAAAAAAGAAAAGAAAAGAAAAGAAAGAAATTGAAAGAGGAGAAGAAAGCTCCCCAGGCAATTTATTATAATTTCCTACAAAAAATACAAAACAACCGTTTAAAGTAGCATCACTTTATTATTGGTTCATAATCTCATTTGTAAAAATGCAATATCTATGTGTGCCAAAGCCTAGAGAGGCAAACATATAATTCCTTATGTGTGACATTATATATGTATAAATATAGCTCTGTCCTCTTGATTAAAAACAAACATTCTCAAATTTTGCTATTTCAAAACTTTATCCTGTGTGGATTTTGAAAATACAGACTGGCTTAAAATATTTTGAACAAGCCAGGAAAAATAAAAATGAAGGTCTTTTATGGACAACACTACCACCTACTGGCTTTATGGGATACTGCTGTCCATTGCACGTGGACAACTACAGCCAAAAACGTTTTTATCTTTGCCTTACCCACCAGTAAACAAGATAAATGGGTTAATAAACTGAAGAATCTATGAGCCATTCACCTGCTAACCCGAGCATAGGGCAGTAAATAAATCTTGAAGACAACACAGGGAAAGAGCGAGTGAGTGAAGCAAAGAAAAGGAAATCCAAACTTTATATTTTAAAAGATTATTGTTTTAATCATCCCTCTAATCAATGGAAAAAGATTCATTCTTTGTTTGTTTGTTGTTTGTTTGTTTGAGACGGAGTCTAACTGTGTCACCCAGGCTAGGATGCAGTGTTTCGATCTTGGCTCATTGCAACCTCTGCCTCCCGGGTTCAAACAGTTCTTGTGCCTCAGCCTCCCAAGTAGCTGGGATTACAGGCACACAGCATCATGCCTGGCTAATTTTTGTATTTTTAGTAAAGACTGGGTTTCACCATGTTGGCCAGGCTGGTCTCAAACTCCTGACCTCAAGTGATGCACCCACCTCAGTCCCCCAAAGTGCTGGGATTACAGGTGTGAGCCACCACACTCAGCCAAAAGATGCATTCTTAAAAACAAATTTGCAACACTAGGATTCTCCTTGAGTGATGATTTTTTTTAATATGTACACATTTTAAGAGGGAAACATTACTGCACTGAATCACAGGAAGGTTATATCAACAGAAGGGCCTTTTTTTGTGTGTGCCAAGTACCAATTCATGGCTATGATATACTTAAAGTAAATATTTTGCCCTTGTGAGCATATATGTAATTAAGTTGAGGCAAGATGATAAGTAGAATATTGTGTCTTATTCCTTCTCTACACAAAATAAAGGAAAATCTTTAAAATCCTAACTGTCTTCTAAGTATAACTATACAGGAGGAACTACTTAACAGTTTTTTGGTATAAAGACTATAACTAACTTCTAAATGATTTTCAGTACTCCTTAAAATTTTGATAAGCCGGCCAGGCACAGTGGCTCATGCCTATAATCTCAGCACTTTGGGAAGCTGAGGTGGTTAGATTACCTGAGGTCAGGAGTTTAAGGCCAGCCTGGCCAACATGGCGAACATCTCTACTAAAAATACAAAAGTAGCTGAATGTGGTGGCAGGTGCCTGTAATCCCAGCTACCCAGGAGGCTGAGGCAGGAGAATCACTTGAACCTGAGAAGCAGAGATTGCAAGATTGCACCACTGCACTTCATCCTGGGCGACAGAGCAAGACTTCGCCTCAAAGGAAAAAAAAACCAAAAATCCAAAGATTCAAATGCCTTTATGTTCAGGATATTTTGTTCCTAATTTTAGTCATTGATTGTATTTTTACTCTGTGACTTCACATTTAAAATATCTGAATGACTCAAATCAACATTTAAATGTCTTTTTTAGAGGGCTGTGAAGTCGAACCTGTTATCTGAATATGATTTCTTTTGTTGATTTTATTTATTAAAAATGGAAACCTTGACTTTTTAAATATTTACTTATTATTCTCGTAGAATAAATGTACTTCATGCTTCATACTCTGGAGGTACTGGCTACGCTGCTCCGAGTCTTTCAGGGAGCACCATCATCATGCAGCCCAAGCTTTTTCCAGATACTTCTGGACAAGTGCTCCTAAGAGGCACATTCACCTAGAAAAGTGCACCAGAAAGGAAAAATAAAAGCATATTTTTCAATGTTGTAATGTAAATTTTCATTGCCCACAACTGTAATACCTTATACTTCTGTAGTGACATTTTATACTTTTCAAAATGTGCTTTTCAAGGCCAGGCATGGTGGCTCACACCTGTAATCCCAGCACTTTGGGCAGATCACCTGAGGTCGGGAGTTCAAGACCAGCCTGATAAACATGGAGAAACACTCGTCTCTACTAAAAATACAAAATATTAGCTGGACATGTGGCACATGCCTGTAATCCCAGCTACTGGGCAGGCTGTGGCAGGAGAATTACTTGAACCTGGGAGGCGGAGGTTGTGGTGAGCTGAGATTGAGCCATTGCACTCTACCCTGGGCAACAAGAGGAAAACTGCATCTCAAAAAAAAAAAAAAGTGCTCTTTAGTTGTACTACTTGAAGGGTCAGATATTATTTTCCTTATCTTACAGAGGAGAAAATACAGTCATAGGACAAAATCCAGAAGCAGCAAATGAAACAGGTGGGACTGAAATCCAGGCCTCCTGACCAGCTCAGCTCTTCCT